ATTTGCAATCCAATGGAATTTTGTTGTAAAGTTCAAAAGTGGGAATCATAATGAGCAAAGCAGATTAAGGTTCCCTCTCGTTGAAATTAACTATGCAATGGGACCTACTAGCCTGTAATAGCATTATTATAAGCTAGCATCAACATCTTTATGGTTCTCACTTTTATCTCGTATGATTGACCTATGTCTCCAACAATTAAATCCTTTTTAATTACCATATACATTGCATATCTTTGAATAAAATCTTGAAAGAAAAAAATCCCTTTTTTTCATGGTTTATCTGTAATTTAGGCTCGATCTGCAGATGAACCCAAGATTTATTTTGACTATGATGATTTGGTATTTGTTGAATTAGACATTTGAAATACACTAGGGCACCTTGTAAAATTGTTGATGAAACGGTACGCACACCTGCAATTAACCACGACACTAATAATGAACAAAATTATGCGTACCGGAAAAAAATAATACACCATACAATAAAAAATTGATCGCAGCAGTCAAAAGATGCTATGGTTTTTCTTTGAGAATAGAAGCTCTGAATAATTTAATGGCTAGTTTAAGTAATGACCATCCGAAACAGTAATAATAAACGAGGAAAAAACTAACAACAACAAAACCTGTGAAAAAGGATATTTTGATTTATCTATAGTTAAAAGTTGTGTCCTTGAATATTAATAATAGGTCAAATGCCAATTGTCACGTATGAACAGTGTGAAGGTGGGGAACTGGGTGCTGCTATATATAAAACATATTTAAACAGCCAATTAACAAAACTAATTACTTGGTTAATAAACTCATTACATTATAAATTTAGTCTTAAAATTTATTAAAATAAACTGAAAAAGGTTTATTTTAATAAACTATACTTATAAAAATTATAAAATATTTTTATAAGCTCCATTTATGCTCTTCCAAATGCCTCTATAACAGACATGTGTTGTATAGGGAACTTAGCTAGAACTCAGGTTGTGGGGAAACAAAAGCAGCTGGGACAAAAGTTGCACACATACGGAATTGTTTGGTAGAAGAAGAAACAAACACTAGAGGTGGAGGAATGACTTGTAGTTTAATGGATTATTAAAGGATTTAACAGTAGTACTTGCACAATGAGACACATCTTGGCTTTATCTTCACTGTCTTCCCAACATTGAGAGGTTGGAGTTGGGCAATGGGCACCAACCAGAGTGGGGAGAGGTAGGGGACTCTCTTCTCTCTTGTGTTGTTCAACACATGTAAAGGGTATAAAGTATGGACCCCAGTTTCACTGGGTTGTTTGGTTTGGCAGTTGAGGCATTTAAAGGTTTTGGTTTTGGTACGGAATTGTGACTCAAGTAGACGACACCGTCTCTGCTTTTTCCATTTGGGAATACATGTATGTTTGTCAAGTATATACATATAATATAATATAGATAATGTGTAACCTATGCTGCGGTTGAGTGTTGAGTGTTGAGTTATCTTCTAGTAACTGCAGATGCACGCTTTGAAATTGGACCCTTTGAGACTTAAGTTATTGACTACAAAGTCTACTAGAGTAAGCACACCTCACACCTTACACAAAACATTTCCAGCTTTAAAGCCAAGTAAATTAAAAGCACAACGAAAGCAACTCCTACCTCACCAGCACCATTCACCACCCCTCACACCTATCTTAGCTTCACTTAATTCCCCCTCCACGTACTAATTCCGCTTCTTTATATATGGAATATCATTATTATTACTCTATGCAATTTCATATTGGTGGGTTTTATGAGCCATACTTTAGTTTTCAATGAGGGTTATTATGTAAGAGAAATGTTAGTTAGTATTATTAAAAACTTAAAAAGTATGAGAAAAAATATTAATTTAAAAATAAGTAAAAGTGTAATTTACATAATTTTTAATAAGTTTTATTCATCAGTTGAGGATATATTATAAAAAATATATTAAAAATGTCTTATTAACGTTACTCTTTATATAAGTATTCATTCTGTAATTATTTAATAATACACACAATTTGTGCATATTTTTTTTTTTTGTACATATATATTAACACCATTTGATAATGGTTGATGTCAAAATATTTTAAAAACATGATTTATTACAACGAAAATATCAATATAATTTAATATTTAATTTTTAAGTGATTAAAATTATTGAATGTTGTAAAACGAAGCGCTTCTTATATGGTTTAACTCTCATTACATGGCGTAGTTGATTTAAACAAATTCATGAGTCTGGTTTGAATGCCCCCAATTAATGTTTCGTTGTTGCTCCAAAATACCGTTGACTATGGGAATAATATTATTTTATTAACATATAACATTTTAACAGTTTTATTAATCTCAACTTTTAAAGTTGTATTTAAACACTTAAAAATAATTTTTCTTTTATAAAAAAAATATTTATTACCTTTGAGATGTAAAAACATAATAAATATTTTTTAATAAAAATTATCACTTTTAAATATTTAAGTTTACTCATAAAGATTAAGATTAGTAGAATTGTTATTTTAATTACAATATCAATAATTTATTAAAGTAAAAAATAGCAATGATTTATAAAATAAAAATAAAAAGGGTGCAAAATAATATGTTTTTTTGGGTTTAAGAGGATGAGATATGTGTATCTCTTGGAACATTATGACGACGACGATGATGTCATATCATAGAATTTCAGTTGACAACCTTATGATTTATGCTTTTACTCTTTTCGAATATATTTTTCTATAATTATAATTATGATTACCTTTAAAATGAAAAATATATTTTATAATTTTTTTAGAGTTAAGCTAGAACAGCCGGTTAATACATGTGCTCGATAGTTATAATTTATAATTTTATAATTCTGATCAAACAGAAAATAATTTCCACATTACATACAATTTGTTAGAAAAGTATTTTTTTTTTATAAATAACTTTTTCCTTAAGCAATGAATAAAAGAATCTTCAAGAGACCACGTCCTTCACCCTGAGATCATAGTCAACAATATTAATTGTAAAGAGGATGAGAAGTGATTATCTTCTATTTATTTAGAAGTTGAATATAATAATTTTATAAAATTTATTTTTTAAATAATTAAATATTGATCTAAATTAATGTAAATTATATATTTTGATTGAAACCCTAGGGCTGTGAAAAACTCCTGGCCAAGGCTGGTTTAAACTTAAACCCAATGCAACAATGTTAATGCATGTTACTTATTCCAACTCTTCACTGGCTATTTGGTTGCATCCCGAGGAACCATGAATGTTTATGTGTGCCTTCTCAATTGGTTTGTTGGTTGGTTTTCACGTGGAGTCAGAAACCCAAAATTAAAGCACCTCATGGCAGATATTTCAGCTCTCTCTTCTCGTTTTAATGACTTCTCATTATCATACGTTGGTAGATCGGCGAAAAAGCCTCCTCATTTCTTAGCTGTTTAGTTCAAAATTTCGACCATTGTACTACGTTTCAAGCACTTCCCTTCTTTCTTTGGTATGATTTAGTCCACGTTTCAAGTATCTATTTTTTTGCTCTACAAAACATAAACTTTTTTTAAAATAGTTGAGAAATAAATGGGCCATAATCAGTTTATCAAAACGCGTCTTAACGTGCTTTTCGTATATCACTATGGAAGTAACATACTGCGTAAAACAAAAATATTTTTCGTTACAGAGGCATTGGTGACAATTTGTCTGTATATTAAGAATTTTTTATATTATACTGTTGAGTATGCATTTAGGTATGGGTTGGTTAGCAATTTTTTTTGGTACATTAGATTGGTTAAATTGTTATAGCTAAAATGTCGTTTTCATAATATTATAAGAGGAAACGTGGAAAATATTAACTAAAGTGATGACTTTTATTTTACCACTAATCATTTTCTTATCCCCAAACCCAACGCATCGCAACGTTCCGCCGAATCAGGTACAAAATTGCTGATTTTATGGGCATTTGTGTTTTGTGAAAGGGTACGGATTATTTAACTATCTAATTAAACTAAAAGAACAAATTAGAGAATTACACAAACCTGCATATATTAGTGGGTCATGCTGATTCTGAGTATCTCTTTTACTGAAGAAATTATATACTAATAGCATGCTTGCTAAGAATTAATTTTGGTAAAATAGTTATTTATTTATTGAAAGTTCTCTTAATAATCTAAACAAGGAGCGATTAATTTAAAAAAATCAAAATTAAATAACCACTGATATTAATCAGTTAAAACTAATCTTTTATTATCTAAAATTTAGATATCGACTCGAGATATGAATAATTTTATTTTAAAATCTCAGCGTGGCATGCATGATAGAGGCAGGGACAACCTTAATCTGTTGATGTCCTATAACTAGTGTACCTCAACATGTCAGCTTTCAATTCTATCTTCCAAGATATGTTTAGTGGACCCTTTAACTCAAGATTCGAATCGAACGAAACCATCTTATTTACTACTTGCTTATCTCGATTGAAATTTTTTTTGTTACTCCTTAGTCCTTATCGTATCAAACATTTCTTAAAATCAGCCAGCAGCCAGCAGGGATTTCATAATTATAAGGAAAGAAGTAAATGGATTTTCTATAACTTCCCTTTCAAGGCCAAAACAAAATTCTCCTTTCCTATGGATTACTCTTACGTCTTGGTTTCTTGGTTATTTATTATTAACTGGGTTGATTGTTCATATTAAAAGCATTCAACTTACATATAATGCCTAAGCCCGAGTTGTTGTTTTTCACTTGAATAAAAAAGAAACACCGACAATGAATAAAGGGCATGGGTCATGTATGTGAAACAAGAAGAAGATACGTTGTTGTCCGGTCCCATTTTCCCACCCATAAAAGCACAAGACCGTGATATATAGCTAAATTATACATGATCGTCTTCTTTACCAAAAATAAACAATTTTCACCAAATTATTTCTTTAATTAACTTAAAAATTATTTTAGAAACGGAACCTTGTACTTCAATTCAATATATGTAAATGTTTTTAGTTACGTATGTGTGCCATCCATTTCTTAAAGGCCGTTGCTGCAAACAGAGAGGACAACAACAGAGGAACAACGAAACGAAGCAGAACATCAGATCCAGGTGATACTCGCTGCTCCCATTGCGTCCTTCCACGCGCTCTCAGGGCTAATGAGTTGAACCATACCACATTGAAGGCTCCATCACCGGAATGATGGTTCTTTCTGATTCTGGGGATCAGTGACTCTTGAGTGCTGTGAGCGAAGATGTTTCGTTCTGCAAGATGGAGGAGCGAGAAGAACAGGGTCAAAGCTGTTTTCAAGATGCACTTCCATGTCACCCAGGTCACTTTCATATTTCTCTGAATTCTCATGATACTACTATTACTATATGGTGCTGAATAATGCAATTTCAGGTGTTTCAATCTGGGTTGGATGCATTGGTAATGTCTATAGTTCCAGGGGATATTGGAAAGCCAACTACAAGACTAGAGAAAGCTGCAGTTCGAGATGGAAATTGTAGATGGGAGAATCCAGTGTATGAAACTGTAAAGTTTATTCAGGAGCCTAAGACTGGGAAATTTAGCGACAAAATATATCATTTTTTGGTTTCAACGGTATAATTTTTTTCTCTACTTTTTCTCTCCATTGCTTAGTGTATTTTTGTGAATGTGATCTGAATTCTGGACTCTATCTATGCAGGGGTTACCAAAAGCTAGCTCCATTGGGGAGGTTTCTTTAAACTTTGCTGATTATGTTGAGGCCACAAAGCCTTCCTCTGTCTCTCTTCCCATTAGGATTTCTCACTGTGATGCTGTCTTGCATGTTAGTGTTTGCTCTCTTTCATTTTCTGAGTATTTTTATTTTGGTCCCGATGTAAAGTTACTTGAGATTTCAGGGAAGCCTAATCAAAAGTTTGATTATGACATAAGTCAAAGCAATGTTGATCTCGTTAAATTCTTTTTGTTGCTTAATAAACAGGTATCAATCCAGAGGCTGCAAGAAAACGGTGATCAAAGGTACAAGGGGAATTGCCATGGTTATTTTTGCTTTTCAGGTTATAGACCTCAACTCAGTTTTTGATGACGGGTTGCTTCTTGTTGATAAAAATTCGCAGAGAGGAAGATGAATGCGAAGATGCCAAACTAAAATCGGATAATAGGAGCTCAACGAACCAGTTAAGCAGTGGCTATGCGGATGAAACCGCAAAAAGTTATTCTTCAGAAGTAAGAATTTCACTCTCTTGGGGCTAAGAATTATTTGACTTCTTTATATGCCCCCGTCCATGATATGATTTTTCTCACTTTTTTTTTAGGGTAAAAATGGGCATGCACTTGGTATCTAAGTTAATACCATGCTTCCATAATACCATGTCCTTTCTATGAACATTTTTTTTTATTGTTAACGAATCAATTATTGAATTTCCTTTTTTTTATGTTTTGGTTTGCAGGATGCCTCTTCCAAAGTAATCATCAATAGAGCTGAATTGAGTACTAACTATAGGACATCTAGTGGTTCTGATACATTGTCAAGTTCTGATGACAGCTCTGGACTTGATACTCCCCGAGAAATTGGACCAAGAAAAATGAACATCCACCCCAATACAAAAAGGTTTGTTCCAGACTCAGCAATGGACCACACATCAGAACCTCAAAACCATGCTGCTGTTAATGCCTCAACATCAATGCATGATGTGCATGAGAGATCACGCTGGGATTGGTCAGCTAGTTCAGAACATGGGCTAAGTATAGAGGATTCAACATATGGTTCTCAAAAGGGAAGCTCCCAACAGGCTTCCCCTTTGGAGACTGAAAGTCTAAAGACTGAACTTGCTGCTTTGGCCAGGCACGTGAATGTGTCAGACTTGGAACTACAGACCCTTAGGAAGCAAATTGTGAAGGAAAGCAAAAGAGGGCAAGAGCTTGCTAAGGAAATCATTGTCTTGAAAGAGGAAAGGGATGCACTCAAGACAGAATGTGACAATCTCAGGTCTTTTCATAAACGCATGGATGAGGCCAAAGTGAGAAACAGATCACAGTTGGAAAGCGGAGATCTTCGTGCTCTAGTTCAAGAAATAAGGCAAGAATTGGATTATGAGAAGGATCTTAATGCAAACCTCCGATTACAGTTAAAGAAGATGCAAGAATCAAACGCTGAGCTGGTTCTTGCTGTGCAGGATTTGGATGAAATGTTGGAGCAGAAAAATAGGGAGATATGTAACCATTCCAATGAAAATGAACAGTGTAAAATTTCCAAACAGATAGGGGTAAACCTCTCTAAATGTGAAACAGATGATGATGAAGAACAGAAAGCATTGGAGGAGCTTGTCAAGGAGCACGACGATGCCAATGAGACACACTTACTCGAGAACAAAATAGTAGATCTCTATGGTGAAATAGAGATGTATAGAAGAGACAAAGATGAGTTAGAGATGCAGATGGAACAGCTTGCACTTGACTATGAGATATTGAAACAAGAAAACCATGGCCTTGCTTATAAGCTGGAGCAAAGCCAACTTCAAGAACAGTTAAAAATGCAGTATGAATGTTCATCCCCTCATCCTGCTATGAATGATATTGAAACCCATGTCAAGAACCTGGAAAATCAACTCAAGGAACAATCAGAAGAGTTCTCAAATTCTCTGGCTACCATTAAGGCACTTGAAACCCATATCAGAAAATTAGAAGAGGAATTGGAGAAACAAGCACAAGTATTTGAAGCTGATCTAGAAGCCGTGTCAAGCGACAAAGTTGAGCAAGAGCAAAGAGCCATCCAAGCAGAGGAGGCTTTGCGAAAGACCAGACTAAAGAATGCTAAAACTGCTGAGAGGCTTCAAGAGGAATTTCGAAGGCTCTCCACACAAATGACCACTACATTTGATGCAAATGAGAAGGCTGCCATGAAAGCATTGACAGAAGCAAGTGAACTGCGTGCACAGAAGAGTGTACTGGAAGAAGAATTGCATAAAATCAGGGAAGAACTTCAATCAGCTAGAGCTGATTATGAGGTAAAACTGAAAGAACTTTCCAACCAAATAGATACAATGACAGTTCAGATACAACGGATGTTGTTGGAAATTGAGGACAAGTCCAAGCAGCTTCAAAATCAGCAGCAGCATGGAGAACAAGTTAGTAAGGATTTCTCTGATGAGATTGGGTTACTAAAAACTGAGAATGAAAGGCTTATCGCGGAGATATCATGCTTACATAAGCAAGTAGAAGGAAAAGAAATTTTAAGAAATGAATTGGAACTTAAGAAGAAATCAATTGAGGAATTTGAGACAGAACTACAGAGAGGAACAGTGGAAAGAAATGAACTGGTGGGAACAATTGCATTGTTGAAGAAGGAAGCAGCAGAGTCACTTAGTGAGATAAATAGGATGAGTCTTCTTAAGGATGAGAAGGAATGCGAGGCTAGACTCTTGCAGTCAGAATTGGAAGCCACAAGAGCTCAATACAGTGACCTGAAACTCACTCTTTCTGAGGATGAAGCTGAGAAAGAAAAACTAAGAAAGCAAGTTTTGCAGCTAAAGAGTGAACTGAAGAAGAAGGAAGATGCATTACTCAGCGCCGAGAAGAGGTTAAGGGATAGTAATGGACGCACACAACTTACTGATGGAACTAAAACCATTTTAAAGAACAAAAAAACTGCTTCAAGTCCTCAGAGTTCAAAAGAAATAGCCAGTCTGAGGGAGAAAATAAAAATGCTTGAGGTAAGGTTTCAAATAGTATTTATAATGCTTCGTTCCCAAATTCTAATATTAATTCACATATATATCTTCGTATTTCACTCTCAGGCATTTTGATAGGATTAAACTAATTTACATGTGATAACATGTTAATTAAAAAGATTGTTTGTGACAGGGCATTATACAGTCAAAGGAAACTACGTTGGAAACTTCAACAACTTCTTTTATGGAGAAGGAAAAGGAACTCAAGACCAAAACTGAGGAGCTGGAGAACCAAGTGGAGGAATTCAACAAGAGTATTGCTTTGCATAAGGTATACTCATACTTGACTTGCATAGTGTAACGCTAGTGCACTTGTATTATTATTAAATTGTTGATTTATGAAGCTATTAAATTACATGTCTGGAATAAATGAACATTGGCATACCATTCAAACAGGTTGTTCAGGATACAAGTATGACTATTTCAAATGAGATATCTGGTGAAGTTAGAAGTTCAATTGAGCAACTCAATGATGCTGCATTGTTATTCAAGAGGTGTGACTACTTTCTACTTTCCTTCCATGTCCTTCCAGTGTTTTTATATTACTCTTGTAACTGAATTGTTTACTCATTGAACTATTTTCTGGCCATGACAGTAATGTGAAGTTGCCAGAGAAAGAAGCAGGAAACTCCACAATCGATACTGTAGATAGCAGTCTTACTGACATATTAACTGAGTTGTCGACATTGAAAGAAAGAAACAAATCAATGGAAAGCGAACTTAAAGAGATGCAAGAGAGATACTTAGAAATGAGCCTTAAATTTGCAGAGGTAGAAGGTGAAAGACAAATGCTTGTTATGACTGTGCGGAATCTCAAGAGTACCCAAAAAGGCTAACTATTTCGTCTTCATATCATGGAGCCTGCATTGTATAGTTGTAGCAGGTGGCCTTTGCAGCAACGACACACATTTTATAATGAATAAATTAATGTGTACAATGGTAAAATACGTGTAATTTTTCCTCTCTTTTTTCTTACCCTTGATATTTGCTTCCCAATGCCAAATGAGTTCCTCAGTGGGTACCATTTTGCTAACTTGTCAGTTTGTAATGTCAGTGTTATTTGGTTAGCAATGGTGCTTTCTCGCTATAATGTTCGGTGAACAACCAGCGATTCTTTTGTTGTATCTTTTTTGCATTTATTATATAATTACATATTCTTTATTGTATCTATTGATAGATATAACACAAATGATCAGTTCTTTTATTGATGTAACCTATATATACATCTTGGAGGTGCCATAGCAAACAACTTTTGTCTTTTGCATATGTATACAGCTTTTATTGCATTGTAAAACAAAATAGCATTTCTTTTACTTTAGGGACTGAAAATGCTTCTCTACTCCAAAGGTTCCTTTCCTTTAACTTATCTTCTTGTGGTTTGGCCATCACAGTTCTAAGCTTTATGAACTTAGGAAGAATCCTTATCCAAGATCACTGGTATTTCCTTTTTTAGGTAGCAATAGCATTACTACTATAACAGATATCCAAAATTTTATTGCATCATGTAATTTTTTTAAATTTTAATTATTCATGTGTGATTATATATATTTAAAACTTATTCTTTTATAGAAATTTTTATTGAATGTATCACACAGTTGTATAAACTTTAATACTGTGAAAACATATATACGGATTCATAATCATCCTAAAAATCGTTATTTTTTCCTTTTGTCTCTTATTGTTAAACAAGGCTTTAGAAAATAGTTTTCATTTTAAATAATTATTCTATTTATTTTTTTTCATATGCCATTTTTTGTTTATTTTGTTAGTTCTTTTAACACCACTTGTTCTCTATTTAGTTCCAACCAAAATAAGAGAATAAATAAAATAATCTTGCAATATTTAAAAAGAATAAAAATTGTATAAAATTCTATTTAATAAAAAGAAGACTAATATACGAATTATTTGATATAAAATTCATTTGAAAACAAAAACAAATTAAATTTTTTTATCATATAAGTGTTTTGATTTTGTTTATTATAAAAAAATTATTTTTTTAACATTGTTTTATTTTATGACAATTTTCTATATGTAAAAGGAGAGAATAAAATTGAAAAAATAAAGGAAAAAAAAAAAAACAGTTCTCCTGGAAATGTGCACAAAAATTGAAACTTCAAAAGTGGCATTGAGGTTCGGTGGAAAGTACTGTGGTTAGTCTCTGGGAGGAAAAGACAGTTGAAAATTCTGTAGCCTGAATGTTAAATGACTTACTGAGATTTGAGGAGAAAGAAAGCAAACATATTGATATTTCCACGTGTAATTTTCTCCGTCTCAGATATATATTTTTACTGGTAATAAACTCGCTATCCAATCAAATTTTGTAAATTACCTATGTATAAATAAATTTTGTGAAATATGTGAAAATAGACACAAATGCTGAAAACAAAAAGGTGCAAATAACCATGCGTGCAACTGTTGTTTTGTCCAATTAAAGGGCACGATTAAGACTGACTGAGAAATCTTACTCCACGATTTTGCCTTCCTACCTATGGAGTATTCGACCAAGCACCGCCATTGACCAAATAAATAAACAAATAAAAAATCACTTCATCTTTCAAATTAGGACAGCAATAAAAATTGAATTTAATTAGAATATATTAAAATTGTAAAAGTTTTTGAGCTTTCATCTAATTATGTATTTTACATTAATAAATATTGTTGATTTTTACTGTAACATCACGTCAAAATTAAATTAGTTCTTCTCTTTGTCAAAAGGAGATTGAAGTGCATCCACATACATCACTGTATTCCTGAATTCCAAATGGAGCTCATCATAATATAAATAAAGTAAACAGTGGCTACAAAACTCGTTATTGGAGAAAATTTAGAAAAGTTGCGATGGAATCACGTAACCAGATTTCAGGTTAAAGGTAACCAATGACTCCATGGGTGCATACTGTTCTCTAAATATGGAATGGATCAGTTGACAATGTTATGTATTTTTTATATATATACTATTCACATTTGGCCGCAGATTAATCCTAACACGGTGACAAAAGCCATTATAAGAGTGATCTATGCCACTCTCCACGTCCAACGTTAGAACATCACCACCCAGTACAATTCCTTAGGACGACTGTTTTTGCTTTGCCTGCAGATTGTAAAATAAAAATCAATACCAAAATCCGAACTATATATATATATATATATATATAATTTACTTTTATCAATAAGTGTGTGTGTGAAATTGGAAAAAAAAAATTACAATATTAATGCATAAAAACACAAAAAGTAAAAAAGGTGAGTTGATTATTATTACATGGGCAACTATATCTCCATCTACATCAACTATTCAAAATGCCATTTTGCCACCAATTCTCTGTATGCAGTACTTTTGGCACTCTATTCTAATCTGGCAAGCTATTTTTCCTGTGATCATCTTATAACATCGTTGAACTCGGAACCACAGCTTATAGTTAGAACCGTTACATCTATACACATCCCAACGTCCAAAAGCAAATAGTCTCTGCAGAATAATTATACATACATATAAAAAAAAAAAGAATGTAATTGAAACCTATTGAATCATCTAATCTAATAATGTACAAGGACACAATACCAACAATTAATATTGGTAGAGAATTACAGAATTACAACGTACCTTGCGTATAGTACAGAGAACTCTGCCACGCAGGTCCATAAGGTTAACTTCTCTTCTCCCCTTTGTGTCATAGTTATCAACGCGATAAACGATTTTACCATCTGAATCATACACAGTGCAACCATTAGAATGACAAACGAGTGGTTTCATCCAGAGGGTATATGTTTCTCGTTTATAGGACATGCAAGGAGAGGAGGTTGGGATTGATGAAAATAATACATCTTGAAAATCTCACAAAGTATATTGGAAGAAGTTTCATATCGCATGGAATGAACAAAGGAGTGGATGAACAAGGCTATATAATGGATTTGAGTCCATGATATTAAAACACTCCAATCAGAAACACTTTAAACTTGTGTCTTACTTTTCTTATACTCTTTTATTAGAGTGTTGTGAGGTTTAGTTTAATTACTTGCTTTGAAGAGTGTGAGTATAATTGGAGTAAAAGAGAATAGTCTATACGTTGTAAAATTTTTTAATTTTCTAGTTGTCATTGGACAACCTTGACCATTTGGGCAGAAGAAATTGTTAAAACTGAAGACTAGAAGAAAGATTCTCTTTATTAATGATTGACAAATTATGTTGTTACAGAAAATATACTAACCATTTATACTAATATGAAATAAAATAAATGATAACATAGAAAGATATAAAAATGAAAGTGTTATATAATTTTTTTATATAAAAAGAAAAATGAAAATTTCTTCAGCAGGTCAAAGCACCTTTTCACTACAGAAAAAAGAAAAATGCACGTATTCACTTTCAGAATAATTTAACTCGATACTTTTGTAGTACTCGCAGAAAGTGTACACGTCATTAATTAACTAATTACTGAAAAAGAAAACAGTTAATTGAAAGCATCCTAATTAATTAATTAAATCAGTTTTTATTTTAACTATGTACTTTTAAACCCTTATCCGTAAGATTAAATCAAATGTTTTGGCCTTTGTATAGGGAAATATATCATACTTCAGTGCGGAGGTAATTGCTTGAGACGTGGTGAAAGGAGAAAATACTTTAAAAAAAAAAAATAGAAATCAAAGGAATAAGATAAAAGAACTTTTTTGATTTTCAAAATGTTAAATAGTTATTTTCTTTTTATGTCTAATGCCAAACTCAAAAGTATGGAAGTTGAGATCAAAGTAACTAGTCAAATTTATTGTGTTTGACTAAACTTATTTTATTCATTTTGAATTCAAAATAACGTACGATAAAATTTTAGTGCGAGAGATTTTGAAGCTAAAACCGAAAATTCTTATGAGAATAACAAGTCAAAACATGCACGACTAAAATGGGGTTAACTAAACAAGGGTTTTCGGATGAAGAATTTTCTTACTCTATTTTTTATGACTCATTTTATAATTAGGGGAGAGAAAGACAAGAACTCAAAGAAAGAAAACTATGTATAAAAAAATAGACAAACTGACAGAGAAATAAAAATAAAAATAGTATAAAAATGTTATAATAATAAAATATTTTTTTGGAAATTGAGATTTTTCCTTAATTGTGTATATTTATACAAAGAAGCAATTACTTTAGGTTTTATTTGATGGTTTGAAAAAAAGAAAAGAAAATAGTTTAAAAGGAAAAAAAAGAGAGAAGAAATAATGGATTTTTGACATAAATAAAATAATTTGAAATATATATTACGTAAATGTCCTATTTTAAATACGTTTCTACTTTTTCTTAATTTTATTATAATAGAAATTAACTTTAATCAATTTTATTTAAACTTTTGCATTCATCTGAAATAGAAGTCCATTTGAATTGATTTTCTTTCGTTTAACATTCTTTGTTTAGAAAGAAGTCGACTTAAATTGACTTTTTTTTCACACTCTAATTTATGTTTACATTGAAGTTGAATTATATTCAACTTTTGTTAGATAATTTTTTATGCTTTTTATATTAAAAAAAATGATTTAAATCAACTTTCATATAATAACCTCTTATCGATTTTTAAAGTCAATATTAGGTGGAAGTTGATTCCAATCGACTTTGAACAATCATGAACATTATACATCACAATGCAGACTTTGATCACAATGAATTTGACAACACAATGGCAATGAATGTTTGTGCGTGTTAGATATTTGTTTTTGAACTGCATGTGTTTATCTTTTGTGTACCCATCTGCCAATACGTGTTCTTTTATTTTAGGAGAAAATTAGTTTGTTGTTAAACTTTAGGTACTTCACTAGTTTTCTATTTCTGAGAAGTATTTTTAAATATAAACGTTGCTAAAAAATAAATGCAAATTTCCTATTGCATTCTACATTCTTCTTCTTCCTAAATTAAAATATTCTTTCGTCCAGTTTTTATTTCTATTTCTGACTAAAAATACCAACAATCTAGTATCAAAGCAATTTCATCTTGCGAGACCTATGAAATGGAAGATGAATCAAGT